AAAGAGACACGGGTGTCATATTGATTATTGTAACCTCAGTATTCTTTTACAGGACACACGGTAAGTCATTAAAAATAAATATGCATGAGAAACAAATGGATATGGATGAACAACAAACTTGACTTTAAGTGGGAGAAAAATCAAACAGGTTCATCTGATGGAAAAAAACACAGGCAAATGGACAGGCAAATGCCACCAAGTTTTCTGGAGCCTGTAACTGTCAGTTTAAAACTACAACAGTGCAAATGACAGAACTAAACAAAAAAGGAGATTCAGATGAATATCCCTTTTGTATCTGTGTATTAAAAATGGTTAGGATAGATATATAGTTACATTCTTTTAATGAATAGAGGAATTTGTTCTAATAGTGTTTGCAAATAGGATATCATGTCTGCATCTTGTACAGTAAATAACCACTAGGAAGAGAGTATGCAATGTGTTAATTATTGAAACTGTCCTACCAATTTGGTTTGAAACTGTCTCATTGCTATTTGTTTCTCAATAAAATTATGGGAAAAAAGCAAAAAATAATAAATAAATAAAATAAAACTACAACAGTGAAAGCTGGGGGTACAACTCCGTAGTAGAGCGCTTGCTTAGTATGCTCGGACACTGAGTCCCATCCCTGGCACAAGCCAAAAAAAAAAAAAAAGCAAGAAGAGGGAAGAGAAAAGAGGGGAGGAAAGGGGGGGTAAGAGAAGGGGAGAATGACAGCAGTGTTTCCAAAGGATTCCCTACACACATACACACACACACACACATACACACTTCAATCAGAATACTTGAAAATTTGTTCTCAGCATTGAGCTCCACATTCAGATGCTAAGTGGACTGAGGCACTGTATCTGAACTCTTTTAGAAACACAAGCATTACAGAAGGGGTGCAGGGCCCTGGCTGAAGGGTCAGAGGGGTAGGGAACTAGGTAGAGTGAAGATGGGCCATGTACAAGCCCATATATCCTCAGTGAATGTGGGCATTATGTGTCATAGATATGAACTACGGCTAATAATACCAGCAAGAAAGAAAAAGGGGAAAGGAAAACTAGAGGAAAAGAGAGAGGAAGGAAGGCAATAAGAAAAGAAGCAAGCTGTGTTGTGTCCACGTACCAACTATATGCACTGATAAAAACAATAAATAGTGACAAGACAAGTTCACCATAAAGCTCACATTCAACAATAGATTTAAAGACATAGGAAAGCAGAGAATGGAGGACAGTGACCACCAAGGGGTGAGGAGCCAGGGAGGAGTCCCAATACTGCCCCAGCACATTGCTTTCAGAGATGTGGACAGCAGCAGGCTGGGTAACCATCACAAGGAAGTGGTGATCCTGCGCTGAGGAAACAGAGCAAAAGGTATGGAAAAATAAAGATGCCAGAGGTGGCAGGCTGGGAAGGGAAGAAGCCTCCATGATCTGCAGAGTGCCCTGAAGAGTTTAGCAGAGCACTGATCTGCACAGAGGCCAGAGGCAGGAAGAAACATTAGAAAAAACTATAGAGCAAACAGCATGCTACACCCTCCAGGGCTTGGAGCAGGCCTCCTCTCATTAGTCAGAGTGAAGATTTCATGACTCATGTGTTGCTAGGTAGAATCTCAGTAGGGGGCCACAAATCCTCCTAGACTGCCCTGCTCTGCTCTTACCTATCTGACATAATAATCCCTAAAAGTTGGGAGCAAAGAGTCAGGTGAACCTAACTGCACCACAGCTTAGTAGTCACATGGAAAGGAACAGCTCCAAATGCTTTAAGGCCCCAGTCCTGTGGACAGTCTCCAAGGGAGCAAGGCCTGTACCAGCCGTGTGCATGGTGTGTGCATCTCTGTGGACAGAGGCCATCTTGCTATTATTCTGAACCTGCTGTAAAAGTAGCATGATGCAAATCCATGTAATAGTATCATTAAGAACTGGGATTATCAATTTAGAAGAAAAGACATAGAGAGACAGCATTTGCATTATTAAATTAAAACCTGTTGGCTTGAGTATGTATTAAGAATTATATGAATTTTTAATAGTTTACTTAAAAACTAAGGAAAGTTTATGTGTTTCAGTTCCTTCCTTTGAAAAGATCCACATTAAGGACTATGGGCGTCTCAGTAAACTAGCTTAAATTTGAGAATGTGATTTCCAAGAAAATAATAGATGTCTTGGAAAGTTACCTGATTCTAGGTTTCAAAAGCAAATATTTAAGGAAAACCTGTCGAACTTTGTCATAGGAGTTATCATGAAAACTCTCAAAATTTGGGGATTTTTTTTTCTAGAAATAAAAGCATCCACTGAAACGGACTGGGTGACCAAAGGTGGGGCATCGGCAAGCAGAAGTACGCCTGCAAGGAAGTGGGAAGTGTCAGAGTCCACGGTGATGCTTTGAAGATTGCTGGCCATCTTTTGAAGATGCTAAAGAACTGTATGTCATAGTAAGAACTGATAAATAAGCAGAGCAGATTAAGCATTTATCCTTACAGATAATGAAACTCTAACTAATTTGTCTTGATAAAAGAATCCTTGACAATGAATAAAGCAGAACTGAGAGGAAGTAAATGGAAAAGAGGATCAAGATGTGTGATGCTTTATCAATGACTGATGGAAAATACCTGTTCCATGTTATGTCTAAGGCATTTAATATTCAAACAGATACTAACGTTAAGCTCAAAAGTCGAGGGGCCGGGGAGATGGCTCAGTAGAATAAGCGCTTCCCTGCAAGCGCAAGGGTCTGAGTTCAATCCCCAGTTCTGCCAAATTTAAAAAAAAAAAAAAGTCTATTTTTTAGGGTAATAATATCATTAAGCTTCTCTTCTGCAGGGTTAACAACTTAAGTTTGCAGACCAAAAAATTAGAGAAAAAGAAGGGCTACAAGGATACCCAATATTGTGGCCCTAACCCTTCAAGGTCAGTGAGGACTCAGGACATAAGAGAATCTGTACTGTAACATCCTGTAACTCAGTGGTGTCCCAAATTTTCTGATCAAGGAGATTGTGGGGCCACAGAGGAAAGTGATCAACGATGTAGAGTGTGCCTAGGGAGAGTCACATGGAGAGAAAATATTTTCTCAGGCTTTCACATAGAGCAAATTGGTCAAGCAGTGGGTGTGACTCATTCACATGGCTGACACTGATGAAAGATCCACAGACTGCTATACAGGGTTTCAGGGTAAATCCTGAGGAGATTAGACTGACTTTGTCAAGTACAAAATTTACATTTCCTGATATATAGGTCTTGCTTTATCTTGATCTTAATATTCCAGCAGAAAAGTATAAAAATGAGGTATAAAAAGTAAAGCCATATTAATATGCTGAACTGTAAAAGGCTCAAGTCAACAACTTCTGACATTGCCAGTCATGCGGACAACCCACTACTATTATAGACTACTGGACTACATTGGATTACTTTGCTGAATTCATGCACCTACAATATATGAATGGCAATAGAATACCCATCTCTGACATAAACAAAAAAGGGAGATATAAATTAAGGACCATTTTGTAGTGAAAAAAAAATATATATATGTATATACAAAATAGTTTGCATGGATATACAGCTACTTTCTTTTAGTTCAATGAGAAGAAAGTTTTGAACTAAGTGTTTAGATAAGATGTCATGTCTGCAGCTTGGACCAGGGGCCTGAGTTCAATCCTTGGCTCCGAAAAAAAAAAAAAAAAAAAATCACGTCTGCATCTTGTACTATGCATAACTACTACGAAGACAACAATATGCAATGTATTAATTATTGTAACTGTCCTACTAACCTGTTTTGAAACTGTCTCAATTCTACTTCTTTCTCAACAAAATTAATATTAAAAAAAACACGTGTCATGCTCTTGGACCAGCTCTCCATGATGAATGTCATCATCATGTGCTGCAAGCTTGTGTTAAGAAAGAAAACAAGGCTAGCTAGATAGCTCAGCAGACTAAAGCACCTCCTAAGGCAGATGCAGGGACCAGTGTTTGATCCCCGATGTGCTGTGCCTGCCCCACCCTGCCCCAGGGACATGCTGAGACAGTGATCTGAGACTGGGTGTGGTGACTCACGCCTGTAACCCCAGTGCTTGGGAGGATGAAAACAGGAGAATCACTACAAGTCCCATCTATATAGTGAGACCCTGTACTAAATACATTTAATAAAAGAAAGAAAACCAAATTAAGATAAAAAGAATAACATTGGTATTTTGCAAAGACTAAGAAATAGCTGACTTTAGGCAACGATCATCAACATTTGCTTCATAAGCCTCTCCCTCTGGGAGACTGTGCCTTAGTCCTGCCTATCATTCCCTCAATAAATTCCATCAAGTTTTTGAGGTCTTAATTACCAATTAGAAGATAAGACACAGGACAAGGAGCTTATAAAACATCTCCACATGACTGCATCTACAAATATAAGCTATGAAAAGTTCCACAATCCATACAACAAATAAAAAGCAATAAATGTAAACCTATAGGTTAAGAAGGACAGCCACATCAACCAATAATAACATATGAACCTTCTGGACTAGTGAGATAGCTCAGCAGATTAAACACTTGCTTTACAATGATCCCAGCACTCTGAGAGAATGAAATCTGAAGTTAGAGCCTAGCTTGGGCAAATTAGTGAAACCCTATCTTAACTTTTAAAAGTGGTTGGAGATATTGCTCACTTTGAAGGCCTGGGTTCAATCCCCTGTAGCATAAACAAAAGTCTTAACTGAAAAGAAGTCCTACAGAAATATTAACTGTCTCAGTTACTTTTCTCTCATTGCTGGGACAAAATACCCAACACCCAAAATTAAAGAAGGGAAGGTTTACTTAGCTCACAGTTAGTGGAGGTTTCAGTCCATACTCAGCTGGCTCCAAGGCAGAGTGGCACATGGCAGTTGTTCATGACAGCAGAAAATAGCAAAGAGCAAAGGGAGGGGCAGCAGCTGTGGCAGCTAGCAAGCCTCTCTCCCTTCCTTATATTGTATGGGCAGGTGTAGCATTCACACATCTCACTGGATCCTGAATTCATCACACACCTAAAAGCCTGCCCCAATGACCGCTTGAGACTTTAGGGAGACAACTAGACAGACAACATAACATTAACAAATGAAAGGGTGCCATGCTTGGGGATTGGCTTCAAAATAGCTAGGGATAGAGCTGGGATCGAAACGTCTTCATGGGCTAATGCTGGCTGAAGGCAGGTATAGACTTATGGAAGCTCATTCCCCTGTGATCTCTACTTTTTAGTGCTGAGGATTTTCAAAGTACAAAGATCAATGTAACACTACATAACAACACATAATAAACTGAAGAGGTGGTGGTGAAGGCCTCTGAGATCCTAGTGAGTGCATCGAAATGAAAACACTTTCACAGGCATGCAGTATCAGAAGAGATGTTTTACAAAGATATTGAGAACTGTTTTTGCAGGACTTTTTAAGGGCAAACCACGTTTTTCTCAGCCTAGAACATTGCTTTCTGAGTAAAAGACAGGCCTTTTGCTAAAAGTGGGTCAATCAATATAAAGCAGTTGGCTACCTTACTGAAGTTACCAGAAGACATAAAAGGCGACAGATCACCTGGGTTTACAAATATGTTTACTTGCTCTCCCTGTTTGTAAAACCAAGCCGGGTTTATGGGAAGATGAATAGACTATTGGGCTGCTAGCCTCTCAAAAACATGCTGGCAAATGTAGTCTACATGATGAAATCTGACTTTTCTCTTTGCTAATTGCTCTCAACTCCAGTTTCAACTCACAGATTTTTAGTTTTGGGTTTTGGGATGAGGAAGAAGAATCTTTGGAGATGTTCAACATTTTTTTGAAGTCAAGTAGCTCATTATAAAGTATATGTTATCCACAATCTAGTTGTTTTGCATTAGGATAGATACTCTGAGAAGCTTGTCCAAGTTTCTGTCAAAAGAAGTCTCTTCTCTCTACTTATCGGAATTTTATCCATCCAAAAAAACATGAACAAGTCCAACAAATGTAGTTCCTAAAAAGAAGAATATTATGTTTCCAATTTTAAGATGTGTTTCTCATGGTCTCTAGATCGATGTCTTGCAAAGAACCGGCATTCAAGAAATGAGTTGACTGATTTCCTTAAATGTATGCAAATCTAAAATTTGCAACACGGTTTGGCAAGTAACAATTTTGCCTATAATATTACCTTATTAGGACTATTACAAAAATAATCATCATGCATCTTAACGTTTGCTTTCACCAAGTGCCTGGAAAAGCCACAGGAGCAAATTTAAACTGGGGTTGGGCTTTGGGAGCAGGCTCAGCTGTGAAGAAGCGAGGCAAGTGAATTTCTCTGTAGGCCGCTTACATTTTTGAAATTACTCGCAAAGATAGATTGCAGGAATTGCAGCTAAACTTTTCAAATATTTATCGCCATGGTTAGCATTTTCATTACAATAGCTTTTGAAGGAGTTGTGTTTATAATGGCCTTTTTAAAGTTGCTACCCCAGGCCTATAAAGCAATGTTATAATGTCCTTCTGTCAGCAATATTAAGAGCATTTATCTCTGGGAAAATGTCAGGAATAAACTCCACTGCAGTAACAATACAAGTGGGTAAATGTACAACCTGACATTGTACTACACATATAGCAAAGGTTTAGAAATTCCCGATAGGGTTCTTAATATTCATGAAAGCACAGCACTGCTTTTTGAAATGTAGTGAATCACATGATGTTTCTTAAAATTCAACAAAAGAAATAACAGGGTCTGCTTTTTCTTTAGATATTGATGATATTACCTATGGGCCATGATCATTGACAGTGATAATAAATCCATACACGATTTAACCTCCACATTTTAAATGGCCTAGACTAGAAAGAACTATGCTACCCAGTGTTGCAGTTATGCACATATGGATTTTTGGAAATGTAATTAATTAATTAAATAAAATCAATATTTTATTTTTATGCTATTTTAACCACATTTCCAATGCTCAATAGCCATCGCAGCTAGCAGTTTCCCTGTTAGGGACTATAGCTATAGAATGTTCTTGTCATCACACAAGTTCTACCAAGCAATGTTGGTCACCTTTGAAGACTATGAATAAGTGGGGAATCTTAAGTTATATATATAAATAATCTTTGTAATGTAAAACAGCCATGTATAACTATCTTCATTTTCTCTCTAATATATGAAATTGAATTCAGTCTGCCAATTTTATATAATGTTTTCAAAAATCTCTATTTTCATGTCATTATTTAAAGTTGTCCCCCCAGGCATCATAGTATAAATTTTCTCTTTGTTCTGACTAAAGAATGAATTTCAAAATAGTCCCTGTCCTCAAGGTAACAAATGAGAACAAGAGAAGCCACTTCAGCTAGTGGGTTCTCTTTTTGCTTGTTTACCTTAGATATTTGTTGTAACAGCGATCTGTCTCCACCCTCCTTCACTTCCAGCCGGCCCCAAGGAGCTCCACCTCTGAGAGACCCCTCCTTTAGAGAGTAGCTCCCAAACCCCATCCTTAGGAAGCTCCTAGCTGGTATAAAGAACTAACTTCCCAAAGATTTGATGCTTTCCATCAGATTTGGAGGCCTTCCTGCTTTTCAAAGTTCCAGAAAAATTCCTTAATCTAACATAATTTATTTCTCAATGCAGGAAGGTGCATTTGCTAACATGTAAAAAGCTACTAATGTGGAAGTGATTTTTTTCCAATTTGGTGAGAACTTGAAATATACATACAGTTAGATTTTGAACACAAGGAGTCTGAGAAACTGAATGAAGTCACCTCTATTATTTATGATCAGCAAAGGGTCACATTCCTGAGGAAAAGTGGAAAGACAAAAGCAAGAAAAGTACAAGAAAGTAACATGAAAAACACCAAGTTCCCCAGGCCTGTGCCAGTTGCATTTAAATACAACTCCTGAAAAGAAGTACATCTGTGTTTGCAAGACTAAATAAATTGTAGAGCTTCTCTAGAAGTTAAAATATTGTAAAATTACTAGTGTGTTTCCATGAAAAATATATAAACAATAATGAATAATCATTTCATACTGAAAGTAATTTTATTTTAAAGGGAGATTAATCCAAATATGAGCCAAAAAATGAAGTACTGATAACAAAACATTTAGTAGAAATTTCAAATGTTTTTGGAAAGGTTTCTCTCCAAGTAATAAAGTAGGCTTTAGAAACTGAACCCAAGTTGCCACATTATATTTTTGCAGCTCTTGAAAATGAATTAAGGCATTGAAGTTATCTGCACAAATGTGCATAAGTTTAGGAGCAAAGCACAAAATAAAGGAAAGAAAGAACAAAGAAAGGAAATGACATTGCCAGACTCCCAGCCCTTTCCCAAATATTTGCACCTTACACTTTCTAGATTCTTTGCTTAAGTTAAAAACTGAAACTTCACCTCTGGTCTCTGGCTTATGCCTCAAATAAGCCAACAGTCAAATACATTGGCATTAAAGTTTACCAATAAAGTATTATTTTTCAAGTAATTTTGCTTCATTCTTAAGATTCAAAAGTATTTTGCTACCCTTAGGGAACTACTCGACACTAGGCCTAGATCTAGCGCAGTTTGCCTGACACTAACGGGCCTTGGAAAAGTTTGAAGCTCTCAGCTCATTAGGATTTTGAGTGGTTGTTTTGTTATTGAGGATGAGAACTGTTGGGAAGGTTGGGCCGGCCTAAACACATAATTTTATGAAATATGATGAAAATATGAGAGTTTTGTTATGACGCACATAACAATCAAGAACCTGTTTCTTTTTAGCGAGCTCCTAAAAAGTACCTCCTGTATAATTATTAAATAAAAACACTCACTTATTCCGTACTCAGCTGGCTTTTAAACTCTGAATAAGAGAAGTACACAGTGAGAGAGGTACTTACCCGGTTTCCTTGGATACTAGATGATGCCATTGAGGTCTGTGTTTTTATCTGAAAGTGGTGCCCTGTGGAGAAACGAGGCTCCATGAGTGGCTGTTTATACATAGTAAATAAATAGGAACTTTGTTTATTTTACAAACCATTTTTTATTTTGACCCAGATTTCTTTTTCTCTTCACACCCAACCTTTGTAAACAGCAATAATATGGTAGAACAGGTATTGCGCACAAGCCCTTTAACTCCACTTATGAAATCCTAATTACTAAGCCAGAAGTTCAGAGCGCTTTGGAGAAGCACGCTGCTCCTCAGCCTGCTTTGCCTGTCTTCACTACTGGGTTTACTTCAGATGGTCAGATGAACACCACCGGCCTTTTCAGTTTCCTTCAAAAGGAGGTTTTCTCAAACCATCACCAGTAAGGCAATTAATCTTAAAAACTCCTACACATGACCAAAGTCCTTACCTCAACCAGTGAGTAAGACAACCCTGGCCCTAGCCAGCTTGGGAGCCCTGGGGATTCCACAGGCCTGAGCTGCCATCTTACGTGTGTCAGGGGCACCCTGGATTCCCAGTAGCCCAAGAGCTGCGAGCACACAGTTTGAAACTCCGTCTCTCACAACAACTTGCTTTCTAATTTTGGTAGCATGATTAATCCCTCCTATGTGATAAGTTTTAACCTTCTAATATTTCTTTGGATCGCAAAGAACAAATGGGCTACAGCAAAGCAGGGCAACTAACTTGAACGCTTCACACGATTTAATAACCTGAAATGAAGTAAGTGTGTGCTGCGTTTCCATTAAAAAGTTCCAGCCACAATTAATTGAACAAAAACTTGTCTTGTTCCAACATTATTCTTGGAAATGTAATTTTAAAGCCTGTGTAAAACGAGGAAGCTGACTTTTTTATACCATATGAAAGCAATTTCATTTTTTTAGGAATGATTTTTGGATAGACTTCCGATTGGATATTTTCCATTGGAACTAGTGGTGTAGGGGCTTGCGAAGGGGGAAGGGAGAGAACTGATTCTGTGTTCCTTTGCCAGCACTGACAAAGGTCTGCCTGTCAGTGATACCTTTATAGCTAAATTTACTCCAGAGTGACACGAACAGGTGCGCCTTGGCCTGCCAGACACTTGTGCGGAGGGATCACACATCTCACGGCCTGACGATCAGGGGGCAAAGCCTCGGTCTTCATAGAAAAGGAGAGGAGGCGAACGCAGCCCAAAGTGGGGGTTTCTCTTCAAAGCCAGCTGGTCTGGCTTTATTCTACAGGAATTTTTTTACCTGTCAGAGTTTGGACAACAAAACCCTCAGCAGGTGCTGACGGGTCCAACTTCCTGGAGAAGCAAGAAAGGCGCTGGTGAGTTTCAATTGCCAAAATATATATTTTTTAATCTCTAAAAGTTGATGTTATTATCTTGGAAGAGGCCCTCCCGATGTGCCTATGCTCGAGGAGCTGATGAGACCGCCGGAAGCACAGCTAGCTAACCCAACCGAGGGCTTGCCGGGGACGCAGGCAGAGCTGTTACTGGTTGACAAGTTTTAGAATTTTTATCTTAGTTTGTAAAAGCAATAATTTCTATTTTTTTAAATACAGGTCTCTTTGATTACCCTCTTCTATGTCAGGAAGATGAGTTAATTACACATATGACACCAGACCAAGTAAATAGCATTTTAGTCTCTTTTTAATTTAATTTTGTCACCATCCTTTCTGAATAAAATGTGGTTTTCCAATAAAACTTGAAAATATAAATGTGAAAAGGTACATGATCATTTTAAAAATTCCATGTGCTGTTTTAAAGAAGAAAATGTGTGCATGCTCTAGGCATATGATTAGAGGCAGTGCAGGCTTAACTTTGTTTCAATACGTTTTAGAAGCATGTATTATACAGAATATTTAATAATTAAAAGTAACATTTTCTCATTACTTTACAAAGAGTTTTGTTCTACAGCAAATCTTTAAAGTAAACAACCATGAGAGTACTAAAGCATGTTTTTACGTCATTGATTTCCAAAATTAGTATATTTATATATTTGGTATTTTTGTTTTATGAATTCAAAAGTTTGGGCAAAAATAATTTTTCAGAACAAGATTTTAATTATTGCAAAAGATGGAAAAATGAGACCACATGTTAGGACACATTTTTAAAAGTGATTCTATTTCAAGGACTCATTCTTTTAACTATGCTTCACAGCACTTCTCTACAAATTGTTGTATTATAGCAAATTGAAAACATTTATTTAAGCAAGTGAGCAGCTCAAAGCTAGCGACTATACATAGTAAACATATGAAACCATTTTAACAGCAGAATTCCCTACTCACAAGCAACACGAACTAGTGGATGTAAAAGATACAACACCATGCATTGATCAAGAATGCTGTAAATTATGATGCATAAAAGCAATTTTCTGGGCTGGGGGGGGGTAGAAGTGGTGCTTAAGAGAAAGGCTCCAACCAATGTAAATTACGAGGACTATGAGGCAAGTGTTTTATTCCAATGATCATAGAAATAATTTTCAGTGTACACAATTAATGCATATTTGTACAATGGAAAAAAAATCTGTCTTTTGTCAGTTCTATCTAAAACATTTTTTTAAATCTATGATGAGTTGAATATGCTAACACAAGTTATAAATATCCTCTTCTCTTAAACTGGCTTAAATTATCTTTAAAATCATGAAGTTTAAAAACTGACCAGAAATGA